TGTGGGGATAGGGACTGAATCTCTCACCAATGGCTAATGATAGGATCACTTGGAGGTTTCTAGAGGGTGGTGCATCCAGAGAGACCACAGAAGCTTCATGCTCTTTCCCACATATTTTCCCTGTATAGCTCTTCCATCTGCCTGTTCATCTGTATTTTTTATAATATCCTTTATAGTTAATGGGTAAACAAGTAAATCAGTAAAGTATGTACTTGTAATCAGTAATAAGTAAAGTGTTTACTTGAGTTCTATGAGCCTTTATAGCAAATTAATTGAAACTGAAGTGGTGGTCATGGTAACTCCAAGGTAGAGCTGCTTGGTCAGAATTTGCAGAGGTCCAGATTTGTAACTAGCGTCTGAAGTGGGGGTGAGGGGCATCACGTGGGCTGGTGACCTTAACCTGTGGATCTGATTTTATCTCCAGAAAGGTTCTGAATTCAGGTGAATTAGAGGACACCTGCTGCTGTGTGCTGGAGAAGCCCCTGCAGAATCCCTTGCTTCTGATGTGTGGAAAGAACCACACACATCTGTCATAGAAGTAGTCTGTGTTTATTGTTGTATAGGAATATGAAAATTACTATTATTTTCTATATTCTTAGAGAATCTAATGTTCATAGATCAGATGACCATATTGTTAATATGTCTAAACTACCAAAATCATCTACATATTTAATGCAATCCTTATTAAAATTTAAATAGCATTTTCTTTCAAAAATAATTTTTAAAATCTCAAATTGTTTCTCTGTGTTTTACTGATATATTCTTTGGAGTTTTCTTAAAACACATGTTTTGAAGTCTTTGACTGTAAGACCACACATCTTCATGACTTTAGTGTCAATCTCTAGTGCTCTGTTTTTCAAGTCATGGTTTTAAGAATGCGTTTGATGCTTGTGGCCATAAAATAAGCACATTAAATGATTAGGTATTTATTACAGCTTCAGCAGTCTGGCTTTGTTTGTGCTTATTCTTTCAGAGATTCTAAGCAGGTTCATTATTGTGTTATCCTGTGGTCACCGCTTCTTTTTCAGCATTAGAGAGTGCTCTAAGCCTAGGTTTGCCACATGTTTAAAGTTGCTGTGTTGTTCTGGCATGAAAGAAGTAGAGGAGGGCTTGAAGTGGCTACTCCAATTCACTGGCTTTGCAGGTTTTCCCATGGGACTGGGACAGGCCCAGAGGTTCTATTTATGGTCCCCTGGTTGGGATCAGCCACCTCAGTGCTCTGCACAGTGCAGGGCCCAGCCCTGGGCTTCAAGGCAACATATGCCTGCTTCACTCCCATTCTTTTAAGCAGACACTGCCTCTCTCTGTGCTGTGCTTCCTGGGGCAGGGAAAGGATGAGAACAGCAGTCCTACCACAGCTTCTGTAATGCTGGGTCACACCCAAAGCCCACAGCCAGAGACCAGTAAGCTCAGGGTGTTAACTAAGGCCCACATTGCTACAGCCTGCCTGCCACTGAGGTTTATTTGTGTCTCAAGGCTGCTGCAGAGCATCAGTGGTGATGTGGGCTGGGACACCAATGTCTCACCAAGGCTGGGAGTCTCCATCTGGCACAGTGGCAGGTCCAGTAGCTCTGTTCACAGGCACCAGACTGGAGTCAAGGCCACTGGGTTTTGTCTTGTGTTGGGTTTCACCATGGCCAGCCTGGCACTGGGTTGCCAGGTGAAGCTTTGAGCTCAT